TGTAGCTGCGTCAGGGAACTCTCCTGACACGCCCGTCACAGGTAACTCTCCTGACACGCCCGTCACAGGTAACTCTCCTGACACGCCCGTCACAGGTAACTCTCCTGACACGCCCGTCACAGGTAACTCTCCTGACACGCCCGTCACAGGTAACTCTCCTGACACGCCCGTCACAGGTAACTCTCCTGACACGCCCGTCACAGGTAACTCTCCTGACACGCCCGTCACAGGTAACTCTCCTGACACGCCCGTCACAGGTAACTCTCCTGACACGCCCGTCACAGGTAACTCTCCTGACACGCCCGTCACAGGTAACTCTCCTGACACGCCCGTCACAGGTAACTCTCCTGACACGCCCGTCACAGGTAAATCTTCTGACATCAGCCACAGGTAACATAAGAAAGAAGGAACACTGCAACAGGCCTACTGACCCATGCGGAGCAGGTTCATGTCCCCCCCCCCCCCCGGATTAGCCCAATGACCCAGCCACCCGGATTAGCCCTATGACCCACCCAGTCTGGTCACCTCCACTCAAGGAAGGAGCACGGCACCAGACCCCAGCAGCACAAGCTAGTCAGGTCCAACTCACACCCACTCATGTATTTATCTAACCTATTTTTAAAACTACACAACGTTTTAGCCTCAATAACTGTACTCGGGAGTTTATTCCACTCGTCCACAACTCTATTACCAAACCAGTGCTTTCCTATATCCTTCCTGAATCTGAATTTTTCCAGCTTGAAACCATTGCTGCGAGTCCAGTCTTGGCTGGAAATTTTCAGCACGCTATTTACATCCCCTTTATTTATTCCTGTTTTCCATTTATACACCTCGATCATATTCCCCCTAATTCTACGCCTTTCGAGAGAGTGCAGATTCAGGGCCCTTAGTCTATCCTCATAGGAAAGATTTCTGATACATGGGATCATCTTTGTCATCCTCCTCTTTACTGTTTCCTTAGCATTTATATCCATTCTGTAATACGGTGACCAGAACTGAGCATCATAGTCTAAATGAGGCCTAACCAAGGATATATAGAGTTGAAGAACAACCTAAGGACTTCTATTATTTATACTTCTAGATATGAAGCCAAGAATTCTGTTAGCTTTATTGCGAACACTGATGCACTGTTGTCTTGATTTTAGATTACTACTAACCAGAAATCCTAAATCCTTTTCGCAATCAGTAGTATTAAGATCTACATTATTTAGTTTATATGTGGCATGGTTATTTAACTGTCCAACATTTAGAACTCTGCATTTGTCAATATTAAACTGCATCTGCCACTTCTCCGACCATTGCATCAGTCTATTCAAATCATCCTGGAGTGCTCTAGTGTCCTCATTAGAATGAATTGGACGGCCTATTTTGGTGTCAACAGCAAATTTGCTTATGTCGCTATTTATTCCCTCATCTATGTCGTTTTTATTCCCTCATCTATGTCGTTTATGTAAATTGTGAACAACAACGGGCCTAACACTGACCCCTGAGGAACATCGCTTGTGACGTGCCCAATTCTGATTTCTCCCCATTTATGCAAACTCTCTGCTGCCTATTTGTCAGCCATGCCTCTACCCAGGGAAAAATTTCTCCTCCTATTCCGTGTGCCTTAAGTTTCCTCAATAGCCTCTGGTGTGGAACTCTATCGAAAGCCTTACTGAAGTCCATATACACAATATCATATTCATTACCATGATCTACCTCCTCAAACACCTTAGTGAAAAAGTTAGTAAATTCGTAAGACAGGAATGCCCCTTTGTAAAACCGTGTTGAGATTCATTAATCAATCTGTGCCTATCAAGATGGCTACGAATTGCTTCGGCAATTATTGATTCCATAAATTTTCCCACTATGGAGGTAAGGCTTATTGGTCTATAGTTTGAAGCCAAGAACCTGTCACCTGCCTTGTAAATAGGTATTACATTTGCCATTTTCCACTTATCATGCACTGTGCCAGTTTGTAGTGATATGTTAAAAAGATTAGCCAAAGGTATGCTAAGTTCCTCTTTACATTCCTGTAACACCCTTGCAAACAGCTCATCAGGACCTGGGGATTTGTTAGGTTTTAGTTTCTCAATCTGTCTGAGGACCATGTCACTAGTTACCGCAATCGTTCTACATAATCTATTATTTCAGGAATATCACTAGTATTTTCCTGGGTGAAAACTGAGAGGAAGTAGGTATTGAGAATTTCACACATACCCTTATCACTGTCAGTGATCTGACCAGAGTTACTCTAAGTGGGTCAGTCTTGTCCCTAATCTTACTTCTGTATACCTGAAAGAACCCTTTTGGGTTAGTCTTTGAATCCCTTGCGACCTTAGCCTCATAATCCCTCTTTGCTTTTCTTATTCCTTTCTTTCTCTCTTTAATTGAATATATTGATTTCTTAACTGCCCATCCCCTTTTTTTGACGCCTACATATGCCTCTCTTTTGACCAATGAGATGTTTTAGTCTATTGTTCATCCATTTGGGATTATTTTTGTTAGATCTAATTTCCCTACTCGGAACAAAAGTTGTCTGGGCAGCTAGAACTATGCTCTGAAAAACGTCATATTGGCAACCAAGATCACCTACCTGACCCATGGTCAGGACACCCCAATTTAGCCCACCCAGGTAATTTTTCAGTCCCATGAAGTCGGCCAAGCGAAAATCTGGGACAGAGATTTGATTGCAGTTATCTGGGCAATTCCATGATATATTGAAACTAAGTGATTTGTGATCACTTTCCCCAAGCTCATCATTAACCTCAAGATTATTAGTGAATCTTTGCTGGCAAGAACCAAGTCAAGCAGATTGTTTCCTCTAGTTGGTTCTGTCACAACCTGTTCTAAAAAGCAATCCTGAACCGTATAAAGAAAGTCACTAGACTCAAGATTTCCTGTCATATTGTTCCAATCAATTTGTCTAAAGTTAAAATCTTCCACTATCACAACATTTTCATATCTAGATGCCTTATGAATTTCGTCTCATAACAGCTATAAATCACACCCAAAATTAATTTGTCACGTCCCTCGAGAAACTGTAGCCAAACAGATTCTGTGTTCGATGTTTCTAATCTTTTATCATATCTAAGACAATTTAAATTTTTTCTGACATTGCCACCCCACCACCCTTCCTGTTGACCCTATCAGTGTGGAATAGTTTATAACCCTGTATGTTGCATTCAGAAGGCATTTCTCTATCTTTCAGGTTGAACCAGGTCTCTGTTATACCAACAGTATCTATATTACCTACACTTGCAAGTAATCTTAACTCATCTATCTTATTTCTTAGACTCCTACTATTCGTATAGTAAACCTTAAGGGAGCTAGTCACTCGTTGCCCTCTACTATCTCTCTTTGTTTGTTGATCAATTGATTTGCCATTACTAGCAACTTTATTTTGAATATTGTCTTTTAAACATATCCCTGAGGTATCCCGGTAATAACTGCTGTTTTTAAACCACTAATGCTGCAGCCTGATTGTTTTCCCACAAACAACACCATACCTCTATAATCTATCAGTTTAAATTCCTAGACAAGTCATCAATTACCCTCTCAATTGAATTGGCTAATGCAACCACTCCATCCCCAGAGAGATAAACCCCATCCCTTGCATACATATCACGTTTGTCAAAGAATAGGTCCCAGTTATCAATGAACGGGATTGCAAGTTCCTTGCAGAACCTGTCTGGCCAGCAATTTATACCAATTGCCCTAGACATCTATTCATTGTCCACTCCCTTTCCAGGCAAGATGCTACATATGACTGGGATCCCTCCCTTAGACCTAACTACTTCTATGGCTGACCTGTACTTATCCAGCAGCTCCTCTCTCCTGCCCTTCCCAATGTCATTACCCCCAGCACTAAGACAGGCTTGTTCCCATTACCTGCCATAATATTATCCAACCTGATGACTATGTCATCAACACCAGCTCCAGGATGGTGCACTGACTTTTCTGTCTGTTACAAAATGCACGGTCCATATATCTTACCTGAGAATCGCCTACTATTAAAATATTCTTACCTTGATTAGCAGGGGAATCAGTGGTACCTTCAACCTCACTAACCACGGAAGTACACTCGTCTTGGAGAACAGAGAATCGATTTCCTACCTTCAAATCTTCTCTATGAACTCTCCTCATCTTCCTTCTTCCCCAAGAGCTTAGGCAGGTATGACCATACGTGAACACTGACCTCAGCTTCGGGTCGTGTCAGAAAAAGTATCTACTGAAAACAATAAACTCTGCCATTACATAGCAACCTAGAGCTACTGCCATTCATACTACTACTGTAACTACCACTACTACTGTAACTACCACTTCTACTAATACTACCACCACCACCATTACTAGTACTACCACCACCTACTTCTCACCTGGGGAGCGAAACGTTGCCATAATAAAATTTCACATTAGTTCCATTTGTATCCGTATACCTAACATTCTCTGGGTAATTCTAGACCGGATTATCCCACAGTGTGCAGCCCTCGGGAATTTAGTAAAAATTCAATGATCCCAGTATCCTGCCGACAATCGTACACAAAAAAGTTGCAAAACAAGCTTTGATTGCGACAACGTTTCGCTCAGTGTAAGGCTTCATCATGACTTCTGAAGCTCTTTAGTGAGCGAAACAGCCTCAATAAAACCCTGTTAGTAGCTTGTATCTTTTAAAAACAAGGATTTCAACAACGAGTACACAACAGAAATTCGAAACACTAATAACGTGAAGCTCAAACACTGCTTGAGAACAGTACTAAGAACATTACAGAAGTCAACGGTACATTAATGGGTAGCAACGGAAAGTTAACGAGGCCGTAGCGAAGAGATAACGAGGTAGTATCAGAGACAATGAAGTCGTAACAGAGATAACGAGACCGTAACTAAGAGTTAACGAGGCAGTAGCGAAGAGATAACGAAGCGGCCTCTTACACTTACCCGAGAACGGTGCTAAAACCTGCAGAACAAAATAGCACACCCAGCTGGTAAGGAACGTTAGCAGCGGGAGGAACACCTACCTCAGGGTGGTGCCCCTGGAAGCCTGCACGAACTCCTCCACAGGGTCGACGAAGCACTCCAGCAACAGCACCATGTACTCGCAGCTTGACACCTGAAACAGGGAAGCAAAATAATCGCTTAACACACCTCTAGTTACAGGACATTTACGATTTTAACACATTGGTCGTCGCCCATCGAGGCAAAGTGACCCGGAAACAAAAAGTTTTTATTCTTTTTATATTTAGTAATTTATACAGAAGGGGTTACTAGCCCCTTGCTCCCGGCATTTTAGTCGCCTCTTACGACACGCATGACTTGCGGACGAAGGATTCTTCTCCACTTACCCTTGGAGATTACTGTTTAACCCAGGGGAAGAGTAGCGCCAGCTCCTTGGCTTATGTATTATTTCGCTCCCTAATAGTTACTTAGCCCTTTGTATCACGGTGCCCCGTAGCCTGGTGGCTAAAGCTCTCCTTTCACGCGGTGAGGGTCTGGGTTCGATTCCCAGCGAGGGTAAAAACATTGGGCGTGCTACTTTACACTTGGTTGTCTATGTTTATCCATCAGTAAAATGGGTACCTGGGTGTTAGTCGACTGGTGTGGGTCGCATCCTGGGACAAAACTGACCTAATTTACCCGAAATGCTCTGCATAATAAGCGGCTTTCTATAAAGTAATGTCATTAATGTTAGCTAGGCTGTATACCTTGTACATGTAGTCATTATATTATTATTTGATTAATCTAGCCAGAGCATCGCTTACTACATCACTAGTTACTCTAGTACTCAGACTGTCAGAGCATCACTTGTATATACCAGTAGTTGGTACCATCACCTCACTAACATCTCCATCACTCAGTAGTTACAATATTACTTACAATCAAACTTTACCCCGGGATGTTCAACATGTGCGTACTTATTACATCACTTGCTGCCTTCGTATTTCTCTAACAAATTATCTAAAACAGCCACATGCATAATTCCTAAAATTGTCCCCCCACACGTTTAAATTATATTGTCACAGTACGAATTAAATCTCACAAAATCCATGCAAATTAAGAAATGGCTTGCTCACTCTCACGCGCGCGCGCGCACACAATAGCGACCAGTGAAGAGGCGGGGCCAGGAGCTATGAATCGACCCTTGCAACCACAACCGAGTACAACTAGGCGAGTACACACACACACAAAGGGGTCCTCAAGGTGCAAGTGTGGGAAGCAGGACTCTCAGAGAAGAAAAAAAAAAAAGAGGCTTCCATGAAAAATTACTGAGATTTGTTTCTCCTTGACGCTGTTTGAATATACCATTTCTGCTATATCTTTTATTAATATATATATATATATATATAATATATATATATATATATATATATATATATATATTATATATATATATATATATATATATATATATATATTTGTGTGTGTGTGTGTGTGTGTGTGTGTGTGTGTGTGTGTGTGTGTGTGTGTGTATTCAAAATGGTACACATGTTTGAAGGACACAGTAATTGTCCAAAGACTTGATAATATTGATAAAAATACATAAATTTTGAGATACAGTTCACCATAATAATCAAATACTTCACTTCGCTGCATGGATGAGAAAATCCACCAGAAAAATCAATGGCACAGGTTCTATACATTGCCAAGTTTAAGAGGAAATGTAACAGCTGATAAACTCGCCTGAGTCTCTTAATGGTCACTATAAGCCATTACCGCTGGCGCTAAACACCTTTACACAATAACGAATAGCGGAAAAGAGGATAAAATACTTTGGAATGTGAGCAAGATAGCTGGTATTTAATTCCGAGGGTTTTTACCACAATATCGTCGTTATTCAGATAATTACGGGCGACTTACCCTCTCAAATACCTGTACACATATTTGAAATAATATCCTATGAAAAATATCCAAATTTTTTTCTCTGAATGCCTTGGTGTAAGAGAAAGTCTTATGACATAAAGCAAGACAAGGGAAGAGCGGTGGAACATCACGTAGATGTATCACAAATAACCCGCACACAGAGAGGAGCTTACGAAGACGTTTCGGTCTGACTTGGACCATTTACAAGCGACAATGTATTGCTACAGTCAGGCTATTGTGCCTTTTTGTTCTTTATCACGTAGATGCATCACATAAATTACCAGATCGAAAATTCTCTAAACAAAAGGAATTAAGTTGACAGAAAGACTGACAAAGACAGACATACAGACAAACTCTGCCGCACTACATACGCCCTTCTTGTAATAATTATACTGTAAATTTAATCCAACAAACAAGTTGTGTCAACGACTGTTTGTCGTTACACAAACCCTATTAGTTATTTTTACTAACAAACTATTAACGTAAATAAACACAATGCGACATTTTACTATGGCAACGTTTCGCTCTCCAGGAACTTTGTCAAGCCGTTACAAAGATCCTGGAGAGCGAAAAGTTGCCACAATGAAATGTAGCATTAGTTGCACTTGTGTCCTTTTACCTAACAAACCAACACAGGTTATATTATACAAATTGTGGCATCCCCCTCCCCCTGTGATTTCAGGGCCCCAAATCTTGATAGGGAGTGCAGTAAACTTCTATGGGACGAAATTCGTAAGGCATCTACATACGAAAATGTTGTGCTAATGGGAGATTACAACTATAGACAGATTGACTGGAGCAATTTGACAGGAAATTTAGAGTCAGGTGGCTTTCTTGATACGATCCAGGTTTGTTTTTTTAAAACAGTTTGTGACAGAGCCAACTAGGGGAAATAACCTCCTTGACTTGGTTCTTGCCAGTAGGGAAACACTAATTAATAATCTTGAGGTTAATGATGAGCTTGGGGAAAGTGATCACAAATCACTCAGTTTTAATATATCATAGAATTCCCCTAATAATGGCAATCAAGTCTCCGTCCCTGACTTTCGCTTGGCTGATTTCATAGGACAGAAAAATTACTTAGGTGGGCTGAACTGGAATGACCTGACTAAGGGTCAGGTAGGTGGTGATGGTTGCAGATATGACGCTTTCCAGGGCATAGTTCTAGCTGCTCAGTCAAATTATGTTCCAAATAGGGAAATCAGATCAAACAAAAATGATCCTAAATGGATGAACAATAGATTAAAATATCTGATTGGTCAAAAGAGAGGCATATATAGGCAAATCAAAAGAGGAGAGGGGCAATTAAGAAATCGATATATTCAGTTAAAGAGAGAAATAAAAAAGGGAATTAGAAAAGCAAAAAGAGATTATGAGGTTAAAGTTGCAAGAGAACCGAAGACTAACCCAAAAGGATTCTTTCAGGTATACAGAAGTAAGATCAGGGACAAGATAGGCCCACTCAAAAGTTCCTCGGGTCAGCTCACTGACAGTGATAAGGAAATGTGTAGAATTTTTAACACATACTTCCTCTCAGTTTTTACACAGGAGGATACCAGCGATATTCCAGAAATGATAAATTATGTAGAACAGGACGATAATAAACTCTGCACGATTAGGGTCACAAGTGACATGGTCCTTAGGCAAATAGATAAATTAAAACCTAACAAATCCCCAGGCCCTGATGAACTGTATGCAAGGGTTCTAAAGGAATGTAAAGAGGAGCTTAGCAAACCTTTGGCTAATCTTTTCAACATATCACTACAAACTGGCATGGTGCCAGATAAGTGGAAAATGGCAAATGTGATACCTATTTTTCAAAGCAGGTGACAGGTCCTTAGCTTCGAACTATAGACCAATAAGCCTAACCTCCATAGTGGGAAAATTTATGGAATCAATAATTGCCGAGGCAGTTCGTAGCCACCTTGAAAAGCATAAATTAATCAACGAATCTCAGCATGGTTTTACAAAGGGGCGTTCCTGCCTTACGAATTTATTAACTTTTTTCACTAAGGTATTTGAGGAGGTAGATCATGGTAATGGATATGATATTGTGTATATGGACTTCAGTAAGGCTTTTGACAGGGTCCCACATCACAGACTATTGAGGAAAATTAAGGCACATGGAATAGGAGAAATTTTTTCCTGTATAGAGGCATGGTTGACAAATAGGCAGCAGAGAGTTTGCATAAATGGGGAGAAATCAGAGTGGGGAAGCGTCACGAGCAGTGTTCCACAGGGGTCAGTGTTGGGCCCCCTGCTGTTCACAATCTACATAAACGACATAGATTAGGGCATAAAGAGCGACATCAGCAAGTTTGCCGATGACACCAAAATAGGCCGTCGAATTCATTCTGACGAGGACATTAGAGCACTCAGGAAGATTTGAATAGACTGATGCAGTGGTCGGAGAAGTGGCAGATGCAGTTTAATATAGACAAATGCAAAGTTCTAAATGTTGGACAGGACAATAACCATGCCACATATAAACTAAATAATGTAGATCTTAATATTACGGATTGCGAAAAAGATTTAGGAGTTCTGGTTAGCAGTAATCTGAAACCAAGACAACAGTGCATAAGTGTTCGCAATAAAGCTAATAGAATCCTTGGCTTCATATCAAGAAGCATAAATAATAGGAGTCCTCAGGTTGTTCTTCAACTCTATACATCCTTGGCTAGGCCTCATTTAGATTATGCTGCACAGTTTTGGTCACCGTATTACAGAATGGATATAAATGCTCTGGAAAATGTACAAAGGAGGATGACAAAGTTGATCCCATGAATCAGAAACCTTTCCTATGAGGATAGACTGAGGGCCCTGAATCTGCACTCTCTAGAAAGACGTAGAATTAGGGGAGATATGATTGAGGTGTATAAATGGAAGACAGGAATAAATAAAGGGGATGTAAATAGTGTGCTGAAAATATCTAGCCTAGACAGGACTCGCAGCAATGGTTTTAAGTTGGAAAAATTCAGATTCAGGAAGGATATAGGAAAGTACTGGTTTGGTAATAGAGTTGTGGATGAGTGGAACAAACTCCCGAGTACAGTTATAGAGGCCAGAACGTTGTGTAGCTTTAAAAATAGGTTGGATAAATACATGAGTGGATGTGAGTTGGACCTGATAGCTTGTGCTACCAGGTCGGTTGCCGTGTTCCTCCCTTAAGTCAATGTGACCTGACCTGACTAGGTTGGGTGCATTGGCTTAAGCCGGTAGGAGACTTGGACTTGCCTCGCATGGGCCAGTAGG